CCCCTGAGTGCATTTTTTGGTCCTAGGACTGTTTTTTAAAGAAGTACATACCCAAAGTTGAGTAAAAAAAAAAACGCTAAAAAGTGAATTTTGGATAATAGGTCCCCTTTAACGTGTGTGGAGATGTATTCACACGTCTTTTCACTGGAGGAATAACTTCCCAATTAAAAACGTTACACGTAAATAAATAAAAGATTAATCATTTGGGTTTAGCTCCAGTATCAGTACTTGTAGGTGCATTTTAATTTAACATCATTTAAAATTTGCAGCTTAAATTTTATCAGCTAAGTTGCTGAACATGAAATGAGGACAGGCTTTGGGGCGAGGCAGTGATGTAAGCAGCACTCAGTTCCTGAACTGAGACAAAAACTAAAACAAAACAAAACAGCAGGTATCTGCTGCTCATCTGTGAAACTTCAACATGTTGGATTTTTAGTTTCTCCTTTGTGTCTGTCAGCTTTRAACCTCGGCGTCGATTTTTAAGCTTCTATCTGTAGATTTTAGCTGAAAAGTAACATTTTTGTGTTTTTATTTCCAACGACAACACTAAAGTGTGTGAATCTGTTTCCTCTCCCTGCCAGAGTTTACAGCTTCCCTCTGATTTACAGGACCGTAAGCCTCCTCCTCCTCCTCCTCCTCCCATTCCTCCCCTTCAATCAGCTGAAGCAGCTAAAGCAGTCATTTTCCTGCCTCCTGCAGCAGCTTCAGTAAACAAACTCATTCAGAACACGTCCCCTTCACCTCCAACAGAACACAACAGAACTTCATTTGTTTAGTTTCTTTCACACACACACTCACATATTCAAATCCTTGCTCAGTTCTCCTGAGCAAATGATTTCACCTTCTAATTAGAGCTTCACTTCTCCCTCCCACACACAGAGACACACASAGACACACACACACACCAGGCTGCTTTAGTTACAGCAGGCTGGCTGGAGGCATCTGATAGTCGGCCCTCAGGGACTCAGACGAGCGTCTACCTGAAACTGAAGCTCCTAAAGGAAGCGCCAAGGTCAACCCACACGGAGGAGTTGTTGTTGTTGTTGTTGTTTCTGTTCGGGAGCTGAAGCTCTGCTGCCTCCTGAGTTTTAAAACCATATTTCAGTTATTTTTTTTAACCAGCAGCTTTGATGCTTCCTGTGATAAGGACTGGTCTGATTCAGTCTCTGCTGCTTCCTGATCAAACTCAGATTAGAGTTCTCAGATGGACCTGAGCTGAATCTAATCCACAGCTGTCAGTGATCCTGTTCAAAGCTTCGTGATACAGTATCAGGTATGGTGACGATGATGCTGAAGGTCTGTGTGTTCTGGTTCCAGGACAAGAAGAAGTACCTGGACATCATCCACAGCTACATGGAGGTCCACGCCACCGTGCATGGCACCAGCACTGTGCACCTGCCCAGCTACGTCAAGAACCACGGCATCCTGAGCGGCCGAGACCTGCAGTTCCTGCTGCGGGAGACTAAGGTGAGTCGGGAACGCAGGTGTGTGTGTGTGGGTGGGAGAGACTTATGGTGCGTTCACACGGAACGCGATTTCAGCATCAGGAGCATCAGGTTTACATACAAAGTCTATGGTGGACGCGCTTCAAGCAACGTCGGGAAGTGCTGCGGCGCCTCAAGCGCGATTACAGCAGCGCGATTTGAACGATCTGAGCGTTCGACGCGCTGAGGTCACCCGCGTAATTTACACTGGGGTTAGGGGGTTTATAACCCCCCCAATAATTTGATCCAGTCAACATAAC